CTCGCGATTGAGATGCGTTCACTCTCATACTTTCCAGGACAATCATTTTCAGACTCTCCAATACGACGAACTTTTGCTAATCTCCCTTGGGAACTATTCTTAGATAGCTGCCTTTTTCTTGTAGGCATTATGCTATGAAGGATTTTTTTTTTAATCAGAGAATTTATCGATAAACTAATAATAATACAAAAGAAAATATTCAAGTTCAAAAGGATAAGTTCTGAAAAGAACTTTGACAAATATTATTCAAAGCGTGATTCATCTGAAAAGAACTTTTTAAGTGAAGCATAAAAATGTAAAAAAAAATCGAAATATTCATGATATCTGTTGAATGGCATGTCCGATTTCAATAATTAAAAAAGTAATCATCAGGTATTGAGACAGTCTTAATATTGAGATATTTATTTAAATAACAATTTATAATTGGTATTGATAACACGGTCTAATTTTGATCGGAATTTCTATCAATTTGTTAATTCTAAAAAAGTGGGTCTAGTGACGTAACTACAATAGTTTTACTCGGTTTGTAATGTTTTGTAATGCTTCCTAATAAATACTCTTCGCAGCGTGAAAAGACATTCTAATGATTTCAATCGGGCTAGTACATTTTTGATTTTATCCGTTACATACAAAAATAACGAATCTTTCCTACTAAATTATAATTAATATCGGTCTAGTACTTGGCAGTTATCTACACATTAGTGATATATTAAATAGATAGCTGCTAACCACGATATTCGTATCCCGTCGTACGCGGCCCGTCGTTCGCTTCGTTCTTGCAAGTTAGTCTTAAGAGATAGACATATAGCGTCGCGGACTTTTGTTTAGATCATTCAGAGGGGAATTATTCTTTGATACATAATTTGTATATATCTTGAACTGTTTTCACAGCGTACGCACCTGAAACCTACAGAGATGAAAAATTTTCCCCGTTTTGTTCACATTTCTCGCTGTATCTTCGCTCCTATTAGTCACATCGCAATCTGCCTATAACCTTCCTCGATAAATGTTCTAACTAACACAAAAATATTTTTTCAATTCGAACCCGTACTTCCTGAGATTAGCGCGTTCAAACAAATAAACAAACTCTTCAGCTTTATATATTAGTATATAGATTCAATATATTTTTGTACTAAACGTGTAATAAAATCCAAGGAAAGTTTCACTGAATATAACATTATTATACAATACAGCGTTACAAGTTTTTTTTATATTTTATAAATTGTTCCTTATCTTCGAAATCAGCCTTAATACTACGAATAAGTCGTATGTAGAAAGTACATAAATTGAAGTAAAATAAATTTATGGAGACGGGGCTTCAGGGAAGCAGCATTTCGTTGAAATACAATACGTTACACAAATTATGAAATACTCATTTCTAACCAGCCTTTACTCCATAGCGCTGGATCCCACAAAATTACATAATCACAGCTCAGCACTAAAGCCACCAACGTTATCCATTCTATATTATGATAATAGAGCCCTAATAACAATTTAGTCTAATAAAAATTCAAATGCGAGGACACTACGAGTACTTAAACGTTTGAAACAGTAGAGCTGCCATTGATTCCAGTACAGTCAGGCGAAAAAGCACTTATCTATTATATTCTTTAGTTTAATATTTTCGATAAGTGTATTTTGTACTCCAACGATAATCAACAACTTTTTATAGTTTTTCTTTCAATATAAATCAAACTTAAGTAAAATATTTTTTTATTTTATACAAAGTTATTCCTACTTCATGCGATACTTGAATGTAGTTTGTTCAGAATCAGTACAGAATCCATTCAATAGTTTTTATACCACTTTATATTTTTTGTCAAAATTATATGAAATTTTTGAAATCTTGGACACCGTTCGATAAATAAATACCTACATAAGTATAACTATATAGGTCTAAAAATTCGTGGAATCCGCGGCATCCCACGGGCGTCTCGTCGATTTGCAATGTTTTTTTAAGTGTGTTAATTACAAACATGTCTTACAATTATACCAATGTACAATATGTGGAAATGGTGCGAACACTTGCTTTGTGTGGTGATAATGTTGCCGAAGCTGTGAGACGTTATCAGGAACAATTTGGCATCTTAGTATCATGGAACATATTGCTGGGCACTACGCAGCGCTTAGGTTTAGTGTACATTATTGTGAATAATAAGGTGATGCGATAAATAAGTTGTAAATAATGGTGATTAACATTATTAAACACGCCGGAATAGTTTAATATGGGTAAGTAGGCGCTTGTACAGGTTTTGTCTCAATAATTAACGCTAGACTTACATGCCGTTTAACCATTCTGACAGTCCAAATCCTGTACGTGTGATGGGAAATGTTATTGCCAAAAGTTCTCAATACAGTCTGTGAGCAGACGATAGGTACATAAAAATGGTGAATCGTGTAGTGTAAGGTGCGGGACACGGAGCAGAGGAGAGAGAGGGGTTGCGAAATAGCACGCTGCATCGACGCCTGCTCAGTGACCATGATAATGTGGGATAAACAATAACATGAAAAAATTTAATAACTTCGCGAGGTTATTTTTTTTTAAATTTTGATTTCTTTTTCTGATTCTGCGAATAAAGAGATGTTTGACGTGTTTCAGCTTTAGTATCATTAAAGAATAACCTTCTATATTACATTTAATAAATACAAACATCTATATATATGTATGTTATACAAAATCAAAGAAACGTTTCGGCTTAAATTTGTACTGTGTGAAATACATTTTGAAGGCGACTGTACCAATTCGTGTCGTCCATTAGACCTCGCGTTAGGTCCCCTAATTCAATTCCATAAAAGACGTCCGTTGACAAGAGTATGGTTCTCCACTTACTAATATTTCGACACATTTTCACACATTTCAAGAGTCTATCGCACCATAACATATATTTTGCGTCACCACTAGGTAAGTTTCATTTTAATACCTAAAAGAGGCTTTTTTATGTTAAGTATATCACAATCATCGTTTAATTTTTTTCGCGTGAATAAGAATAATTGGTTAAAAAAAACGAAATAGAGATAATTTATTTGTATACTTACATTTAACAAAAACACACATTTAAATGTATTTTCTGTAGTCATAAAAGTAATAAGTGAAAAAACTAAGTGAACTACGTAATTTAATAAGTTTATCTTAAAGCAAAGTAGTGTAAACTAGATAAGTATAATAAAGTTGACACGAAAGTAAACTTACGTGGATGTTAACACGATACCCAAATTAATCTACCTTGATATCCTCTTTGCACTTAAAGTTAAAGTCGCTTTGAATGATGTCACTTTGTTCAGTACTACAGTGTATTTATGTTTAAAATGCATACTCTTCACCTGAGCTTTTATATGTTAGGGGCCTGGGTGGACCCGGGGGGCTCCCCCCCTCGTGTGAATACATTCTACGCATGGTGTAAAAGCAGCGATAGTGCAACTGCAGCCATGCTGTCTTAATTGCCGTTGCTTTAGACTTTGCAAGCGAATAGTTAAAGCGATGAACTGATGTTCCTTTTAAATGGACTGCAATACAGAAAGCTTGGCATTATACCGAATTATTCGGGAAAGCCACAGAATCGATTTCGGCGCAAGATTATAAGACCTTCTTTTAGTCTTCATTTGAAAATTCTAAGTCTTTTGTTTGGAATCATTTTAAGACATCTGAGGGAAGATTATAGGAAATTAGTTTTTCAGTGCCCTCGTCTACAAAGTCCTAAATCCTCAGACTGATAAAAACGAATAACAGATCATGCTTCAATGGTAGAACTCACTATGTTCACGTCTCGCGATCTAATATAATTTTAGACAAATTCAATCAAAAGCGTCGTGTTGTGTTTTTGTGTGAGTGTTCACAAGTCGTCCGATTCAGATTGTCGATCGATGTCGTCGATTTCGAGTATTTCATTGTAATGTTGGGGGATAATGTTAACTTTTCCAACTTTCTCAAATATTAGGTTTTTAAGAAAACTCTTAAAATTCCAAACTCTCCATCTGGACTATTCCAAATAGGTCGACAACAGCGCAATTTATTATTTCAAACATATACACAATTTCTAACATCGCGGAAATCCAAGTAAAAACTTGGTATGGAAATCACTTCTTATAATAATTATCTATACTTCCTACTGAATGTACAGAATGACTTTGTTCCAATAAAACAGATTTTTTCACACTTGAGTATATCAACAATTTAAATCAAACAGTCATCAATATTCAGTGACCTGGAATTTATATTTTGTATTGTCTGTTTACATTCTCGGAAAGAAATCTATGTGATAGATTATTCATTGGAATATTAAGTAGGGCTGATCTTGATGGCGCCGTCGTGCACTTAAATAATTCGCCGCCCCGGCCGGGGGGGGGGGGGGGGGGGCCGGGGGGGGGGGGGGGCGGGTTTCATTTTTAATAATAATCGCTAGATTAATTTAGAAGTAGAAAATAGGACGCTCACTAAACTAACCTTGTTAATTTTCTTTTTTTTAAAACATATCGTTGGGCCGGGTGACATCAGATTCAGAATTATAAGAGATTGCATTTTGAAAATTGTTGTTCGTAGTTTCTATTGGTATAATTATTGATATTTAGGATAAAAAGTGGTATTGACTAATAAATAAATGCTATTCCACCTTCATCGTCAATTTTCATATGTTTCTGTCTTTATTAACGTACTATTACATCTAACGCTATATAGGTTCAAAATGATTATTATTATAGTCTATAATAGTATTATCCAATAGTTTGATTGTTAAGCCCCTGTCCATTTTACGATTTGTTCCGGTAATTGTTATGCAAAATATTCTACACAGTTCTAAACTATGTTCACGAGTAAACCAGTGATTGATCGGTCATAAATGTCTGAACGCAGATTGAGCAAACACAACGCCGATGTTAATTACAATTTTGTTCCAGGTCCGTGGACCCAGAATGGAGGCCTCCGGAGCTTACACGCGAATTCCTGCGAACTTTGAGCGTCCAGTGAAAACTGACAACACATAAATCAAAATGTACAACTCCGTAAAATGGAGACGCAAATATGCACAACGAATTCAACTTTTACGGAAAACAATCGAACGTTTTCGAACGAGACCAATTTTAATCTGTCGCTCTATGACTTCGAAATCGGCGGGAATTATAGTGCCAGTTCTAATTTGACAGGTGTCTATAATCTGTGGGCGTTGTCTTTAATCGTGTTCCCGTTGTTGACTCTGTTCGGTAATGTGTTGGTGATTTTGAGTGTAGCCCGGGAGAAGAGCTTACAGACCGCCACGAATTACTTCATCGTTAGTTTGGCTGTGGCCGATCTGTTGGTTGCGGTCGTCGTAATGCCCTTTGGAGTTTATTATTTGGTAAGTTATTAATTAGTCTTGAACGATAATTATTGCTGAAGGTTATTAATAAAAGTCTCATTATTACAAATGTAAAATTAATGCCTCGTTTTGCTTTTATTACGTAAGTCATATATAATATACATATATAACATTGTTATAAAATACCAAAGATAGATAAATATTTGAAAACTCTTTTAACTTTGCATACTAACTTTTAGATACTATTGGATCAATTTTCAAAAAGTATTTATCGATATACACAATTTACTTGAAATGAGCCCCCAGACGTAATGATTACAAAAAAAGAAAAGGCAATAAAATTAAATATTTTATAGGTTATTCGAGAATGACCGGAAAGCAAAAAATCGAGTCACGTTCTTATAGTATCATAGCATTTGGATCCATAAAAAAGAATCGCACCATTTTGATGGAACGCGATTTTAACACTTATTACGTCTGCGAGCTCTCTTGTAACATTATTAGAATTCGCTATTAAACCCATGGTGTAATAGCCAAATAAGAGAGAAGACGTAGTATACAGACAGACACAACACATCACATTCGATAAACCTGTTACATTACATAGTATCAGATATCCGACCATCACAACAAACTTCAGATTTATAATTCACATCAAAGAAACCTGTTAAAGGTTAGTCGTGCGGATCTTAAAGCTCGGTTTGCTAAATCATTTTGGGTCGGTTAGAACACGTAAGAAACTTATCTGGGTCCATTCCTTGTAACTCACAAAGACCGATGTTTACGGTGAAGTTGTTTTACTCAAAAATATAACTATACTCGTTCAACAATCTGGCTTGAAGTTCTATAATTATCTTTTTTTCCTAAATTAACTTAATATTTGATACAATAATGCATAAGTAGTACGTGTGTAGTCGTATTGAATGATAACATTATCATGTATAATCGACTACGCCTATGTGTGTACGGTGTGTCAAATTAATTCAGGCTTTGTAACGGTTCACACGTAACGGCTAACGATCTAGTACCGTTTAGTAGAGACACATTTAATTGGAAATAAATTATACAGTAATAATAGCACGGTTAGCATTTTGAACCGTCCAAATTATTTTGTTTAATCTGTACCACTTACGTTAGCTATATATGTTTAAATATGGTAAATTTGTATGTCTGCAGTACATACTTAACTGTTAACGCAGCTTTTGTTTACAAGAAATGTATGTATATTATGAGCTTTTTCTCGTTATTTCTACATACTCTTTAAAATGTAAATGACTATATGTATGTATATGTGATGTTAGGCGATAAACATATCTTGAATTTCCTTATACATTATTTCCTCTAATCCAATTATCCATAATAACTTTATTTTCGCTTCATCTATAAATAAAAGTGGTTAATTAGGAAACGAGCCGGCGTTGAAGAGGCTTTGGAGTGATGAGAGATCGATTTAATTGTTCACAAGAGAGAAATACGCACAAACAGATGGTATTGCTTTAAAGCCCAAAAAATAGAGTGAAATTTAATAAAAATGAATGAAAATGCCATGTAAATCACAAATAGAAATATGTCTAAGGAAGAAGAGTAAACCATGTGGGAAATATTACGATGTATCCGTCTTAAATATACCCCTTTAGAAACATTTGAATAAACTACCGTTATCTGCGCTTTGTGAAGAACTTACCACACATTCTATGGTATTTGCATTTAACTTATACATGCTCTATTACAAACTAAAAAATAACCTTGCAGGACAAATGATTTAGTTACAAAGACGAAGATCAATGAACTAGAAAAATTATAACAAGTTAAAGTTTATTCAAACGCTTAACTCCTTTATTATTACGGAAGTCGTGCACATATTTTGCTATGATATATAAGACTTTAAGACTCTATTTTTACCCTTTTAAGTCTGAGTGTATTATTGGTTACTGGTTATAAATGGGCAGAGAATACTTGGTATTTTTTCTGTAGGATAAATTCACATTTTCAGATTTTCTTCTTCCAAGAAAATGATTCTTTGCTTACGATTGCAATTTTTTACTACGTCTAATTTAGTACAAGCGTCATCTTAACTGTTAGATAAAATCTGTAAAAACGAGAGGAGGACCTGTCTAGATTTTCAAACGCACCAGTTCAACACAACAAGCACTATTTCACTTAAGCATTGAATATAATTTTTGTAAAGTGGAATTTGAATTGGAGTTGTGCACGTATATCCATACGCGTTTTCCATAATCAAAGCTATGCTGGATCCAATTCAATTTATACGAGTTCACATCGTTTATTCAAAATATATTTCACATGAAAAGAACTATTTGTTGAATAAATGAATAATTTCATACATTTTATAAATCTGCCGATGTCGGCATTATTTGTTACCTATGACGTATTAAGTTTTGTTTTATTCGATGAAACACTGCTTCATTTATATCCACAAAGGATAGCTATAAAAATAAATTCATATGATGAATATTTATACCGTACTAGCTGTGCCCGCGACTTCGTTCGCGTGGAATAGTGACTTGGGGTAGAATTTTTATTTATAGCTTAAAGAATTATCTTATTAATTTATGTAATTGCGTATTTATCGCAGCCAATCTATGTTGTAAGTGCTACTTTTCCGCAACACTCTCACCTCATATTACACCTACTCTAACTCCTACTCTCACTCCCACTCCCACTCCTTTTCTCAAAAAGCCAAAGAAGAAAGTTTTAATGTTCAAAAACCACGAATTTCCATACATACTTTCACCCCCCCCCCCCTTAAACCCTTTTTTCCCAAAAAAATAGCCCATTTTCCTTCCCCGGGGGAAAAAAAACAAAATTTTTTTCCCAAAAATTTCCCCCAACCCCCCCCCGTTTTTTTTGGGGGGGAGAGGGGCCGGGCGGGGCAGGTTTCCCTCCTTTTTTTTTATTTAGGAAGGAAAAACCTTCCCCTTCCCCTGGTTTTTTTTTTTTCAACCCCAAAAAAGGAAAATTTTTTTTTTTTTTTTTTTTGTTAAAAAAAAGTAATTGGGGGGGGGGGCCCGGCGCCCCCAAAAAAAAAAAATTTAAATTTTTTTTTTTAAAAAAAAAGGAATTTTTTTTTTTTTTTTTTTTTTTTTTTTTTTTTTTTTTTTTTTTTTTTGGGGGGTTTCCCCCCCCCCCCCCCCCCCCCCCCCCCCCCCCCCCCCCCCCCCCCCCCCCCCCTCTTTTTTTTTTTTTTCTTCTTCCCCCCCCCCCCCCCCCCCTTTTTTTTTTTTTTTTTTTTTTCTTCTTTCCCCCCCCCCCCCCCCTTCCCCCCTTTTTTTTTCCTCTTTTTTTTTTTTTTTTTTTTTTTTTTTTTTTTTTTTTTTTTTTTTTTTTTTTTTTCCCCCCCCCCCCCCCCCCCCCCCCCCCCCCCCAACAAAAACCAATAATTCACCCTTTACAGCTCTAGAGACCGCGTATTTTTTTAATGTAACTGCCAGTGAAACCCGGGCGCGAGGGCTAGTGCTGTAAATGAGACGTAATCTTGCCAACGATTCTGCGAGAGCAATCCTCTCAGGCCATTTGACACGAGAATAATTGCTAAGACGCGTTCCCGTCACACTGCGATTGACATTCGTTTTTACGGAATAAAATGTTTTGGCGAATCGACGGAGCCCAAATTCAACATAGTAAAGTGGCTTGGGTTTTCGAGCTGTTCGGCCGTGAATATCAAATACCCACACGCATTGAAGCACGTGTCTATTTAGTTTCGCTAATAGTTAGACTAATTTTCACATATATCATACGATGTTCTGCGACCAGCTTTATCCGTAAATTTTATTGCAATTATCTTAGTGTCTTTTTTGCTAATTTTCCAAATCTTTTGAATAGAATTTTATTATACTAACGATAATACAAACAGCACCCCGTAGTTCGATCTATTATAACTGTATATAATTTTTACTTTCCCTTTAGGTATAATTTTAGTTAATATTCTTTTTCACAATGTTATCAGAATTCATCAAGCCGTTTGGGCAGTGAAAAGCCACAGTTACGATAGTAAGTCGCTCGCATAATCCTGCCCAGAAACCAGCTTAACGTCTTCTCACGTAGCTTCTAAGATTGTGGGATTTCATGTCTCCATGCAGCCGTTAACTTGGCTGTTAAGTCGATTTAACCCTCTTAAATGGTATGGTGGTTTCAATATATTAGTGGAATGGCTATGCAATGCATTCAAAATCGGCTTTTAAGTCGCGTATGTACACAGATTTTTATAAGTATATATATATATATGTATGCAAATGATGTAGGTATATTTCTAAATTTGACACGTCTCTGCGACTGAAATTATTAGTAAGTATTTTTTTTAAATAGCTATTACAGAGTAACATAGAGTAGGGAACATATATAATATCTAGATTAAAACATCTAAGGTAATTACAGTAAATAATTAAAAAGCTTTAGGTTCAATAATTGTGGTGCTGCAGAAGGAGGCGGCTAAAACAGCAAGAGAGATGGCGTCTAATGACCCACTGCGAGCGGCGAGACGGGGATCAAGGAGGCGACGCTATGCGCACCTCCAAGATCATCCCTAATATCGCTTTGGCCTTGTCGGAAATGGGGATTGGTGCTGGGAGCTTTGGAGTCGTACAAACGTGTTCCCAGGGCTCCCTCTAAGCACCGTAGAGGGCTGGTGGTGTGTTTAATGGTTCTGGTCGGCTATACGATTTACCACACCCCCCACGTCACACTTGCCCGACGTGGGCGTGCATTAGGCATTCACACCATCAGTTAAAAAAATATATATATAAATAAATAAATAAAAAAAAGGTTCAATAATTGTTAGAATCTTAAACTACTGTAGCTTATTACTGTCAAGTGAGCTGGTCTTTCGACTTCTAACATAAAATATTTAAGAATATAAATACTGTGCACTTACTCCACGCGAGACCGTCACACTTGACCCGGTTTTTATTTCATTGTCACTACTATCAAAAGCATTCCTAACACAATAAAATACGGCCATCTTTTCAAATGGAATTCCAGAAAAATCCTATCTATCCTTTAGGCGTAGTTATTCGTTGGCGAGTGATATTTTTATCGTACTTACTGTTTCCCCTTGAATATTAAATCTTGGTACATTTTTTTATGGCATCTAGCAATACATAAAAAAATAAAGGCTACTTGAATACTGTCTGTAGTTTACGCGAGTAGTACACATTTAAATAAAACCCTTAAACGGTTTAAAACGCGAAAGTCTCCCCGTGACCACGGGCAGCATAAATGAAAATTAATTTATGCACTTTTGTATTTCGGACTATTTTGCACGAAATGCATTAATTATCAGAATAAAAGTATCATAATTTTTGTGGTTAAATGAAATATGGCGCTAACGTACACAAACACGATAAATTATATTTCATTCGAAATTCAATTCAATCAGATACAGTACTGTGGGGCGGGATCAAAAAGTTTGTAACGACAAAATTGTGCACAACGCTACAGTACGTAGTAAGTAGCATTTGAAAACTTTAATATTTTTACATGTTATTGCACATGAAGGCATTTCAGCCGGCATCGTGAGCGTTCCTGTCAGAGCAACAGCACGGAACGCCCACGATGCCGGTTCAAGTCCTGCTTGAGTATATTTTTTTTAAATTTATTTTCGATTTTTAAGTAGTATTCAAAAGTTTTGTAAAATTTTTAAACATAAATAATATCTTGGCTGTTAATATTAATTTATGATCTTATTATATCTTACGAACAAAATATGGGGATAATTGTCTACAATTTATTCACAGCGTGCCTCATAGCTATTTACTCCTATCAAGACCCTTTCTTGCCCACAAAATTATTCATTAACCGTAGTTTTAAGCCTAGTTAACCGTGAAACGTGTTTGTCGAAACCCGTCTTTGTACTTTCAAGTCTACACAAGGCCTTCTACATATTATATGGGTATCGCAAGAAGAGCGTCAGTTGATACTTTCATCTAGCTGATGTGGAAATAACAGATCACGGATCACCCTGCTTTTGAGTACAAGAAAACGTAACTATTTCCATCCAAAAAAACATTAATAGTCTGTTGAATATTATTAATCATAAATAAATATTATCGTAAAGGTGATTAGGTTCTCGATGTATTCGTTCGTTGTGCGTCGTGTGTCGTATGTGAGAACTGGGTCTTGGAACGTCGAGAACCATTTTTTAGCATGTTATACATCATGGAAAATAACATGTGGACCTCATGTAAGTAGTCATAGGAGCCCGGTTAAATAGACGTAATTATAAAATTTCATATACACGTAATATTGTGAACTCATTTTTCGGAACAGGCAGAACCAGTGCATTATATCTAATTGCACGTATAATTAAGAAGCAATTTTTTATTTAAAATCTGAGCAAGCTCCGCCTGTTAGCGCCTCTCGCTATCTTCAAGCATCTAACCTCCAAAGAGGTGCAATTTGAATACATGAATACTAAAACATTTTACAATTTTCCTATAATTCCACCTTATCTAAAGCGTAGCCTCGAAATTTTCATACATGCTCTAAAAATATGCGCGCATAAATTGAAAGTTTAAAATCTTCTAACCCCACAGACTAGAAATTCTCTCCGATTCTCTTGGTCAGTCTCATTTGAACGGTTGATTGGACTGTGACGATGTAAACGGAAATAATGCATAACTTCTGCTTTTAAAATGATTAAACCTTTTCGCCCAGACCAAACGGTTTTCCGAATTGTTAACGGTATTTAGTAAAACCTTTGATTTTATTTCATACTTTATTTAAAAAAATACCTAAATCGAACTTTACTTATCTTCGTTATGATTTGAAAACATGGATATATTACTCCAAGTTAATCTTGTAATCTTTTACACTACTTAAATTAATAAAAAGTTGTTTCAAGCATTTGCCCTTAGTGGAGATAATTTTTAACAAGTGCTGAAGAATGTCTTAATTTCAATACAAAGAGTTTTTTGAGGATACCTCTTATCATTACAATCTAATTATCTGGCTTTCTTTTGACATGGGATCGCCTCTGTAGGTTGTTCGAATTCACTATATTTTGAGCTTTTAGGGAAAAATGTTTAATAAATAAAACGAGATTTATGTCAAAACAAGAATGATAGAACTGGTACCGAATCCCTCTTTGCAGAAATTATTTATAGCTCTCATTGACTCGCAATTCCCACTTGGTCCTAGCGATTTTGGTCGAGTACGTCAGGACTCATAGCTGACGCGTTAATATTTGAGATGCACTATCACAGATCCTGCGGTTGAAAATCGATATATTTATGTAAGGAGTTAATTTACATCAATACATTTTCTCTAAATCTGGGTGTTTAATACAATCACCCTTTGAGTCCGAAAGAATTTTGACCTCCCCAAGGCCACGCTGCCCTCAGTTACACGGACAAAACATGAAAGTTCAATTACGAGATTTTTCCTTCTACATAAAACTCCGCGAAAGCCTACTTGGGATTTTTTATAGAAGTTCTGTGTCAAGTGCTGGCGAGATCTGTTATTTATTACTTGGCTGCTATTTCTTAACTAGTTAACGTCTGCGACACCGCTTAACATTGCCTAGAATTTTTTTCCTATTGTTTTCCCTAGACTTCCATTTCCAGCTCTTGGTTTGGTTCCACATATTAAATATCTAGAAGAGAACAATAAGACCGCGCCAATACAAAAAAAAATATACACAGTCGATTGAATCGTTAACGTCGTGCAAGGAACGAAAAATATTTTTATTCATTTTTTAACTATTATTACAAACATTAAAAAAAAAAACTATTTATATTATTAAATAATGTGTATTTTTGAAGTATGAAGTCTTAGTAACCTCATAAGTTTACGTAACTTGTAACTTAGAGGACAAACGGACATTAATTAGTAAGGCTTTGTAATGTAATAGTAAGAAAATCGTAGGGCCAGATATTTATTTGTTTGTTAGATTTTGTCTAGGATGAAATATTATTACCTCGGAATAAAGGCCCGCGATTTCATCCATTTATGTCTATTCTATATCACCGAGATAAATTCACTAGAATTGAGTTTCGGTATCAAAGATATTTTGCGGAAAATGTGTCCATATCAATTATGTTCTACCTTGTTAGGAGCTAAGCTGCTTTGTTTTATTGTATGTTTTTTTTTTCTGCGGAGCAATTACTTAGTTAAAAACAGTATACGATTAATAAAGTCACTGAAAACACTTAGTAAAAAAATTGCATTACTTAGAAATGCGCCCATGTGAATGACAAAAAATGTCTGATATAATTTGGCACAGCTCTCTTATTTTTAACTGATATGATTTAATTATTTATCTATTTCTTACAACCGGGACATGTCCACAGATCGGAGAGCCCATGGAGTTGCTAAGGACCCGGAATGTTAAGCGTCGAGAACTAGAAACGGGAAGCTCGAGATTGCTTACGATAAAGCCCTAGCTTAGCTGACAGAGGGTTACACGCCCTTAGATGATGGCGTGCTATATACGACATTAAAATTTTACACTATCTCAATATAGACTAAAAGCACGAAATTAATTCAGTAAAAGCCCGAACAAAGCCGGGCTGCGTTCGTACGGGCTTTTAGCTTAATGAAGTGAGCTCAGAAAAATTCACCAATTCGCTTTCAATCTCGATTCCGATACGTGACTCTAATCTATTCGAGTTTTTAACTAAGTTAATACGAGACGAGCAAATTTCGTTCCCACTACGACAGCGCTTACAACTCGCTGAACTATTTTTGAATTGTGTTTAAAGTTCTGTTCGGTGTTACATTGAAGTTACATATATAAACATTATAACCTTATAATGTTTGTGCTATAAAATAATACACTATAATGGACTCGTAAAGCTTGGTATTAAAGGCGTTGAAGTATTGTGCACGTCGGTTTAATTGAAAGATATTAAATTCCTCTAAATAGCTATAAAGGCGCTATCGAGTGTGGACCATACAAAATAGTTTTTACTACCAACCTTTTATTTTGAGAAAACGTGATTTAAGGATTGTTTAATATTGTTTCATAAGATAGTGGATTTGATTCCTAGTCATTAACATGTTGCATTCGATGCATATATTTATGTAACCGACGTCAAATTTAATACATGACATTAGTTTAGTTCAAAGTTTAAGTTATTAAAAATGCAAAGGATATTTCTCTGAAAAGTAAAAAGTTTTTTACAAAGTCTGAAAGCTAAAGCTCATCTTATAATAATTATTATTGTCACTTCGTAAGCAACATTGTGAATAATACAGAAGGTAGACGACGCTTTTATTCCTTCGTCGCCAATAACATACAAACTGTTTTCTTCTCGACAAAATCTAATTTGGAAGTTCTTAAACTGTCCTTCGAGGAGTATACATTTTTGAATAGATGGTCTTAACATAATTTATAGAATTAATGGAACAAAGTGTGAAGATGTTTTCCTTTTGATTCGTAGAGTTTTTTATTGCAGGTGAACGGTATATGGGGTCTTCCAGCTGTCGTCTGCGACTGCTACATCGCGATAGACGTGACTTGCTCGACATCCAGCATCTTCAATCTCGTGGCCATCTCAGTTGACAGGTTACTTTAGTGATTTTATGATTTACATCTCATCGTTATATTATAGTCGTAAGATTACGGTTATGGTTTATTCAAAACGGGTATACTGATTAATCGATGGAAGCGTAATTTGATAAATGATAATAGCAAAGAATTTAATTTTCCTTACACAAGAAAAATCGCCTTACAAACAATCAGAACTGACAAATGATTAGATTTGAGAATCTACAAGTAGCTTTGATACTTTTGCATTTATAATCTTTCATAATAAGGTTGGTTACTAGTTGAATACTAATACTAATAGTAAATTGTCTCTCCGAATAGATATAGTATTCAGCTTGCGTGTAAATGAAAACCCTCTAAGTTTAGCCACACTATAGTATAGGTCTTTTTCCAAAGAAAAGTTCCAACAATATACTTTCAGCCAAATAGTGAACAATAGTTGTCATGTTTTAAAATACTTAGCGAGATGAGATACCTTTAGTTCTTACTTTTGGAAAGTTACTCAGTGATTTGAAAGGATCCTTAGTGAAAGAAGAGTTTTGTATGTTGTTTAGATAATCAATTGCTTGTTTTATCTTGATTTAGATTTAGAGATATTTTGTTGTCATATGTAACATCGCGAATACTACTAACAATTGAATCACAAATAGTTTAGTCGGCAACTTGTTATCTTGCTTGTTAAGAAGAACTGAGTTAGGGCTCTGGTTTTTGTCTTGCAAGTTGTATTATTAATATGTTGTAGTGCCGTCATTTTGCCTTATTTCCAGATACATAGCAGTAACGCAGCCAATAAAATACGCCAAACACAAAAGCAATCTCCGCGTCTGGCTTATGATCGGCGTGGCGTGGATCGTGTCAGCCGCGATAGGTTCCCCCGTGGTCTTGGGTTTGAACAACACGCCGGATCGCAGCGAACAGCAGTGCCTCTTCAACAGCACGGACTATGTCATATTCTCATCGCTCGGCTCCTTCTACATTCCTTGTATCATCATGATGTTCCTGTACTACAGGATTTTCAAGGTGATCTAAATTACGATATTAATAAAAATGGTACTGTCCTCATCTCCACTCAAATACGACTCCCGAATTTAAATTAAACGTCATTGTGTTTAGCTGTGACGAAATTTCCGCATCCATTAGGTAAATGAAATGTTTAATGTTAGCTAATACGTAGTGTTCGTGACAGATATGCGCCACGGAATATGAAGCGTTAGAAACAAACAACCGTTTGTGGTTATCTATTTCGCCAGGGACTGAGCCAAATTGCATTTCTATCGTTTAGTATAAACTCTACCATAGTGAGTCAAATGTATATAATGGCCTCGACTAGACAATTACTTCTACCGATGTTACTGCCAATGCAAAACAATTGGTGTTGTGTGTTTACTGGTACTTTTAAACTAGCAAATAAACCAGGAGATAACCATAAATAAAAAGTTGCTCTTCTACACTCAGAAATAATAAATCCACAGTTGTCTTTCCCCAATACATTCTCAAAAATAAACTAGTGAAAACATACAATACATCGAACAATAACAGCAGTATTAATGTCGAACTTACGAGTTACTCTTAAACAAAACACAACTTAAATCCGACATATTCTGAGTCATATTTTACTAAGTTTTCATAAACATTTGAAGCAAAGCTTAAACTTATATGAATTTTACTGTTTGTAATGGCTCATGCTCACAGTATTAATAAAAATCGTATCTATCAAATAAAATCGCAAAATAAAACAACTAAATCAAATAAAACTAAAATATTTTGTAAGCTGTTGCGTTGATTTGTACCCGTCGTATGCACTTTTCTTACAAACACGACCCACATTCCTAACATACAGGATGGCAGAAATTTTCTCCAACCGTTTTCTTTACCGTTACTAAACGCTTTTTCTTCTTAAGCCTCTTTTGTGTTATTAAAAATACTTTTAAATTACATAATACAGGAATTTCTATGCACAGTATATTGTATTGAACTCGACAACATCTATACGACTGCTTGTAAAACGCGTTGAATTGAAGGTTTTCGTATTCAACTCCTGATAATTATGATACAAAGTATTAAAATATATGTCATAATTATCTTTTAACCAGCGAGTTATTCGACACCGTTGATAAACTTTTGCGTTTCTGTTCAGTGAGAAATTACTCCTCATAGAACTTTTTCCAATATAGTATACTTTACTTATATCAAGTTATTTCATCTCGATATTATTATAATGATCAGATGTCAAAACCTTACCCAGCCAAATATAGGCAAGAAAAACAAATATTTTACAATTGGTATATGTTGTTATTGTAATTTATATATACAAAGTAACAAAGGTGGCTTTTAAGGTGGGCATTTTATTATAACGCAAACTTAGTCAATTCGTGTGCTTAGACCACGCTGTATAATCCACCGATTTGTATTCTCAAAACGTGTACGCTTTTTGTCAGCATGTTTTATTGGAAGTGTACTTCAATCGATACATCAAAGGATCTAACATCTAACATATTGACAGCCTTTGCCGACCGTTTACTTCAATACGTTTCAAAGGCGCATAAATAAATAGTTTATATAACTTAGCAAGATTTAGGTTCGCTTGTTATAAGCGGTGATTCTCGGGAAAAAGTAAAAAGCGTCATTTGCGAGACAAGTTTCTTCAAACCGTTGTGTATTTAAGTAAATAATCGTAAAAGTTAAGTCGGTTAAGGTTGAATCAACGAATAGAAGTTGCGTATCATCGAGCAATATAGTCATAATCAAAGATTTTTTATAACAGCGGTCCCAACAGTGCGAATGATTTTTTTGTACATCTAAGTACTCGTTAAAGTTCAGCTTAAATTCTACTACGTATGTTTTTTCGTTCATGATCCATATTCAAGTGTTAGAAAGTTTTAAAAGCGTTTGCTTTTGTCATAAGGGTAGATTTGAAAAGGTCCGCTCGTAATGGTTTGTGTAAAAGTTTAAATAAAAGCAAAATATATGGCTTCGTTTATAAGTATAGGTACTTCGAAACAATTTCTCCGTTAATTATCGTAACGTTAATTAAGATTTCTATAGATTGACGAAGAAATCACAAAATATTTCGATTTAAAGCGACGTGAGTTAGAAACGTCGAAAATAATTTTTCAATTACGGACTTTGCAAAAACGTGGCGAAAGCCTAATAGCCTACAAGTTATCATTTAATTTAAATTTATGATTTATTAAGAGCACAAAATCTAATTATAGATATAGCAGACACAAGGCAGGCCTATATACACTTATGATCCATTTAAGTTAACCCCGCGACCCTTTTCAATACGACAGCCTGGCTCCATCTCTGGCCAAGACGCAAATAGGCAAATCGTGAAGACGAATATAAAAGATGTCATAAATTGGCCAAAAAATCTCGTTTCATACGCTCGGCCCAAATAGGCCTTATGAAATGAAACTATTTGTATACAATTATATGAGAGTTATGAAGAAGTGTTATTTCATTCCTACGTATCAAACAGAAAAAATTAGGTTAATTATATGGATTTGGTGAAAATTTCGGAGTAAAAAGCGTTGAAAACAAAAAAGATGGGATATATCATAGAAAACTACCATTGTAATGGAAATATATCTTCACAAAAGTAAGATTTTATTGTACGATTAAAACTTTTCGTCTCACTTTGTCCAATTTGAATGATGGATTCTACTATTTCGGTAGTATTATAAAATATATATTACGTCACTATACAAAATATAAAATTAATCAAACACCTTATAAAAGAAAATAAGTCTAGTCATAATAAAAATTCATTTTTTCATTGTCGCATATTAAATTTTTTGGAACAGATTTTTCTCTGCTTACTAATAATAGTATTTCACAATATATGAATATTTACTATAAAAATTAGGTTTTTGTAATAAATGAATGAATACATACTTATGGCTTGGTCTACTTCTTTGCTCAAAATGAAATGGATAAAAAAAAATAGTGATTACCTAATCCACGTCCCTGTGTATATTTATTTTAGTAAACTGCTAGTGTGCGTCAAGCCTTAATCACTGAAATGCTACGTTCGAAAACATAATAACTATATCTGTCGAAACCAGACACGGTTTTGGCTTGCTAATAGCTTTCAAAATATTGAGGAAATGTGGGAAAAGTTCTCGGAACACTAAAGTGCCGTCTCGAGACTTTGCTAGTTTAAATGCAAAACTTTACCTGAATCTTAAATGTAACTCATTATAAGCATTAATCTGAAAACCCATGAATTTAATTTTAATTTATTTCAAGAAAGGGTCATACGATTACATAATTATATAAAACCTGAAGCTGATGTATTTGTCTGTTTGTTTTAACGCGCCAACCTCAGGAACAACTACTTGAATTGAATAATTATTTTTGTGCTGGTTAAACCAAATAACAAAAAAGGCTTTAAGCAATAAAGCATCAGGCTGCGACAGAAGACACAGTGGGCAATGTGGAAAAAATGGGGAGAATTATCCATCTTTGAGGGAATCCGTTGAGTGCGCTGTGTTCAATATACCAAAAAAACATTTACGCAAGAATTATTTCCTTTCCATCCATCCATAGTCACATAGTCATTTCAGTCCGCGATAGTTTATGTTCTTTTACGATTAACTCACAATAACCGTGTTTGTTACTGCTCTAAACTGAGACTCATACGACGCTACTACGTTACGATAAACCATATTTTACTGTACTCTAATGTACCAACTCTAGATGAAAAAAATTATTTTACAGGCAATACGGCAACGCGCGAAGAAACAGCGGGTAGCTAAAACAACGTCCACCGTCAGTTCCGCCGTGTCGACAGGCGCGACCGCCGTCATCATCGAAAATGTTGCGCACGCGCATCGCTTCGACATCCCTGATGATAAGCCCACCAACACTGCTTCAGGGAGCAACGACGACGATGATGATAAGTTAGTGATTTAAAAACTAACATTTTTCACATGTTATTGCTCTTGATGGCATTACATAAATTAAACATTGATTTTTAATTTAAGTATGTGATTATTTATAAATTAATAGTATTTTTAAATTCCGCCCGCGGATTTTCATTTGCTGAATAAACATATTCAAATACATACCACTTATTAGATTTTCGTAAAAGGGCAAGTCACAAACCTGCCTACTAAGCAAAAATCTTTCTCTTTATAACATAGTGATGTAAGAAAAAAATATGTGTCGTACTTAGTTATGACAAGACGGAGATGGGCGCGTATGCTGAGGAGTTAGCCCAAACCAGGTCAGCGAGATTCATGTTGGCCGCTGTCGTCGAGGAGACAGGCTTGTGAGTTTACCATCAAGTATTGTATAGTGACATGTGGCTAACCGCTGTTCGACAACCAGCGATTAGCTTGGACATCTTAACTGAATCGGGTGCTACAGGTTATTAAAGTTTTTTTAATGACACGAAGTATATAGTCATATCTTTTAAAATTGTAATATTTTTCATATGTGAGGTGTCAAATTCAATGACTATATAAATATATAAATGAATCCTGCCCAAGTCGTAATTTTTTTTTAATTTATAATCGATTTTAATGTATGTAGTTCTTAATAAAAGTTAGGGCAGACATATTTCTGGTGTCGGTTTCACTGAACGATTTATTTACAGCCAGTACTACAGACTCCTGTACCATGTTAAAGTCAAACCCAGGGGAACCTTCTTGTCCGTGACGCAATACTAGGCAGCACGTTTAATAATTAAACTATAGTTTCTATCAATTAATGACAACATGCACATCTTAGGCTTTTGATGACACTCGTTTACTTTTCGTATCTAGAATAATGGCGAACCTCGCGTCGCCAATACCGATGATGGATCCTAACACGAATAACGACTCCGGGTACGCGCCGTCAAACATGGACGTGGATAAAGAGCATTCGCCTCCGCCGTCTCCAATAAAGGAGGAGAGAAAAGAAGAGACGGTCATAGAGGCCCCTAAGAAACCAGAACTAAAGTAAGTTATAAATGTGATGTATATCTTTAGATTTAATGCCATCAAAAAAACGGGTTGTTGTTAAAAATATATATTCTAACAATATATATTTCGAATTTAAAACCGTTAAGTGTTTCATTTTTCTACAATTGATGTTTCTAGGGCACATTCTTAGAAACATTGAAGACACAAGTTTACATGGTATTAGAGATTTATATTCATATCCATGTCAAGGTTTAATTTGAAATTAAATTATATTAACGTTGCCGTAACAACTATTCCCCAATCAAATGAGTAACAAATAAATTAAAATATGCATACAGTTAAAAACGACCTTAATTACATTTGGAGTTTAGGAGATATTTATGACTGGCATATATCGTCACAGCAATCATCAAAAATTTTTAAATAAACTTCAAACTAAATTAGCAACCTTCGTAATGAAGTGCATAGTACATACACGGTTTAAAGTGCAGTATATTACAGGTACCTTGTTTAGTTTTTACCCTAAATTAACACAGTCGGTCAAAGTAATCACCAGATTTATATTAAAAGCCCAATACGAGACACGAATATCTCCAAACGACGAGAGCCCGCATAAAAACCATTTCCATCGACATGAAAAATGATGCGACATCTGGCGGCCACTTCAGACATAATATCTCCTAATTGGATGTACAATCAGGCGGATAAGTGCTTTACAAGATCGGGAAAATACCTTACCGCGGCCTTTGAAATGGTAATCAGTGTTTTAATAATATTCTGGGCCACGCTGCGAGTTGTTAAGTAGTTCTTTGCACTTTGAGTAGTTTGAGTAATTAACCATTTTGCTGTTCATTTCCGTATATTTTGCTAAGACTATCGTGGGATAAACTTTTAAACTTTTTTAGTCCGTTATCTAAGTTTAAAAGTTATTAAATATGTCTTGATAGATAGACGTCATGTTTCTTAAAGAACTAAAGGCGTACACTCGCTATTTATCAATTTTTAAAAATCAAAACCAACGGTCACTGTACTATAGATTTTAAATTTCGTTTCAACCCTTTAAATGCATTACGGTTCAGGGAACAAATGTTTCATTATGATGTATATTTCGGATTTAAATAACATTAGCATTATAACGAGGTGTCGTTCAGACATCGATTACTTATTTATGAATATTCAGTTCTGTAAAGTGTTTTTACTTTGATATGAAGGTCGCGATAATCAATATTTTAACTTCTATTATATTAAGTATATCTGTACTTTACGCAAATAGTATTATTAGTTATTTAAACCGTTTTACTATTCGCGTAAACTACAAACAATACTTTGAACATAGATTTTTTATTGTATTAAAATACTACAACTGATGTAGAAATTTTATTTTTTAGGACGAAATAAAATATTGAAATTGGTCTCTGCTACATTCCATGATCTTTGTACGTTTTAGATTAAAGCACCCTACATCGATTTTAATCAAAACCCTACGTTTTTAAAACAATACGATCCACAGCGTTTTTCGTGCTGCGGGAGGTTTTACCTAAATAACATCGACTTTTTAGCTTTATTCAATAAAAGTTTGGTGTTCCGTTATGTTACAATTGAAAATATAAACACAAGAAACTATTCACGTTTTCGTCAAAAGATTTTTTTTTAATTTTAAGAGGTCGTGAAAGTCACACTGAATAGATTGTTAAGTGTGTAGTCAACGCGAATAGAATGTACGCATTTGAATAAAAGTATTGTATTAAAGTGTAACTTATATTTAACATCTACCCGACGATAACTAACATATTTTGCATTTTAAACCTTTAAAAGTGATTCGTTTGAAATATCTACTATTTTAATAGATTACTAAAATGTGTTCACAATTATTTCAGTTCACAGATCTGATAAGTTATTAGCGTCCGTCACTTCTTACGAAACATTTTCAGGAAATACATCTTTTCAGTCATTTATTTCATTTGGCCTTACTTAATGGATATATTTAAAACATTAAATAAGTGTCCTATTTTCTAAACATTTTCACGCGTAAAGGCTCTTCCTCTTTCAGAAAAAAGCTGAGTCGACTTAGCAATAGCTCGCTGATGACAACTCCTCGCCGAAGGTTTCGGAGTGCAGCTTCAGCCGCGAGGTTCACAATCTTTAAAGCGAACAGGGCGGGCAAGATGAGAGCCAAGTCCTTTGCGAAGAAGGAGAAAAAAGCGACACAGACGTTAGCAATTGTATTAGGTGAGATTATGTGAAACCTTATGTGTATAAAGGCCTTTATAAGTTCCTCGGTACCCATTCCTTCTGTTTTTGGAGGATTATACAATTATGGAGGATGAATTTTCACTTTTTTCTGGTTATGCAGGTGTATTTCTCTTCTGCTGGGCACCGTTCTTCACCTGCTCGGTGCTTGATGCTCTGTGCACCAAGTTCGGGCTCAGCTGCTCCCCCGGGGTTACGGCTTTCATCCTCACCACCTGGCTTGGATACATCAACTCATTCCTCAATCCCGTCATCTACACAATCTTCAACCCTGAGTTTAGGAAAGCGTTCCGAAAAATTTTGCACTGCTCATAATTTTCGATTGAGTACTTTAATAGTTCCCACACCTGAACTTTTTAGTTCTCGGTTTCCTTTGGCTATAGGAAGCGAATCTCAACTTACTTCAAGTCGAATACCAAAGTTACTTAGTATTGAAGATCTACGTAGTTAAGATCTTTTATTTTTGTTCCTATTTTTGTGAAAGTTTTATTTAAGCTACTATTTGGCATAAAGTAAATTTTGTTTTCGAAACTAGTGAACACTGAACTCGCGACCTTAAGGTCTTAACTTTTAAGGTCAATTTACTGTCCTGCGAGTAATATCCCAGTACTTAAACTTATACTGCCTTACAAGCCTAGTTTCTAGAAAGTGGTTTTTACATATTTGCCATTTTAGTAATTAGTAATTACAATGTTATATTTTCCATGTTTTAAATCGCAATTAAATATCTATTTCGGTAGCGTGTAACAGATGACACATATAATCATATTATTAATATAAATTTGTAAATATGTATAAAGATTATATTATATTGATGTTAGTAAACCAGAAATGATATTAAAGTTTTATATGATAGTTGTGAAAGAGTGGCGCTTTTAATTATTTATATTTTGGCTAAGTACGATTTAAGAAACCCCAAAATATATTTTTATATTTTACATTGTAGACAGATTTTGTACGTTCAATCACTGATTTTGTTCCCAAAATCACTTCGGCAAATGTAAAAAAACTTACATCGTTTTAGTTAGCCCGTTTATTAAGTCCTATTGCAACATAAAAGTATACGATTACAAGTTAAGGCTTAAATTCATAAAATACATCATGTTCATGATAGGCGTCTGGCCCATGTCCCTCGTGAGAATATGAACGTCCCTTCTGAAACGTCAATCAAACGCGAGATCCATAGAACGAATATTTATTGCATAAAAGTTACAGCTACCTACAAATTTACACTAAATAAGAGTAACTAATCTACCGACATAACTCCTTCAAACAAGTTAAATCATAGAAAAAACATGGTGTGCACGCGAACTTTCGCCTCAGACAAGAATTGGACATACATTTATGTCTTACAAATTGAGTCTTTTAATGTGTCAATGGTGTAATCATGGCAAAAATCATATAGCAAAAAGGTAAAATTTTGTTCTTAACTCTGGCTTTTAGGTGACAAAAGATAAAAAAAAGAGATGCTTGTTTAGTTTATGAAGGTCAAAATACTCTATCTATAGCCATGCGCTATCCACTAATTTTCCCCTTTAGACATTCCAAAATTTCAAAATTTACAGAAGCGTAGATTTATACTTTACGGCTTTTCCATTTCTGGATTACGTTCGGGATCCTTGATCTTTCAGACGTAGTCGAATATGTTTTAGACATATAATAATTCTATTTAGTCAATATGTTGGTCCACCTCCCGTTGACTATTACGAACAACATATAAGTACAGGTAAAACTTCTACATAATCAGCCCTCGCGTCGGTCGGTGCGTTTCAGATGTACGAAGCCAGGCGTTTATTTACTTGCTCCTATTTACTAAATGCCTGAGTACACCTTGTACAATCCTGAAAATATAAGTGAGATAGTCAGTAATCATTTCGACTGATTTCTTTTCTAAATTTCGTTCATTCGTTACTTATTTGGTTAATCGATACGGTCGACTCCCACATGTTTTGTACCTTTTATCACATTCATGTATTATAACGTTGGATTCCGTAACGTTTTTTAATTCAAATACTTTACTATTTTTGTGGGTTTTAATAAGTATAAGATTTTTATTTAGTTAGTAAAAATCCATTATTTGTTTTTGCCAGAGCAGGAAAATAATAAAACTAATTTCTACTTCAAAATGTGTCATTTAGTATGTAGGCGAAGTCTGAAGTTATAAGCTGTAGGTAGGTACCTATTTTATGTAAAAATGTAAATAACCCGACATATTGTAAATATTGACTGTATAAACAAATTGAATTAAGGGCCGAGATTCATTCTGGGTTCAAATCCCGGGAGAAACTTAAGAATTAGTTGACTTGCCTGTATCAATACGTGCCCGATTAGGAAACAGACATGGTTGTCCCATACCCCATGTAGGAGGGATGGGTTTTTACTTATTGTAAATATTGTCAATGTATTGTCCGTGAATGTTAAAATAAATTGATGTGAACTTTGTGTTGTTTTATTTGAATTGTTTGTATTTAAAACATTGCCACAGAGGGAATCTATAATAAATATTTAAAAAAATATAAATAAATCATTTTATTTTATAATTTTGTAGCAACTCAAAACAAATAACACTCGACAAACGTTGTTTAGCCATAAACATTATTTATTTGGCAGAAAAGTAACTAAAGTTATTGTGAGATTCTGGCAGTTTTTTTATATCAGATTAAGTCAGTGCCTTTATATCGTCCACCACAATAATATAGTATTATAGCTAATATTTAAGGATTTAATTGTATAAATAATTAGAATGTAGTAACATGAAGACATAAAATATATTGTAAAAGATTGATTTCCTAATTATGAAACTAACAAAATTAGACTACATTAGAAAATTAAAATACAACAAACATTTCATTAATATCTATTTTCAATAAATACATTTTGGTTAAATGAAACTTTTGGAGCCATCTAGTTCAAAATATAGGCACCGCTAAGTTTTGTTTTCTCAAAAAGTATCTTATACTTTCAAATTCTGGTTGCAGTATTGCTAGGCGGCTTCATTTATTATGTCAACTATTATATTTTTAACTTAGAGACTTACTACTAGTAAGGAACAATACTCAAATTGATTCGTTAACTTCCCACAAAGACCGCTCTATTTATGATGTAGACGTTATAGTTACAGTGACAATAACTAGGTGGCGTTAGCTGCGCAGCATTCTTTGTTCGACGTAAATTTTACTAAACCATCACCGATTGCGCTATATTGTGAAATAAAAAACATATTTCTACAATTTCCTTACTATTTCCAATTCATCACATCAGGATACATTTTTCACTTGAATGTTTTCCGTTTGTATTATTGTGAACAACAAAAAAATGACGTTTATTGCGTTCCAGTGTTTTCAATTTGCGAGTAATGAACTATCTGTCTTTGTCTGCTAGTATCGGGCAATCCTTAGTTAGAAAGAGATAGTACGATTCTGAGAGCGTCGCTCGAACGCGGCGTTTCGTATCAGCTGACCTGACAAGCAAAGCAAAACAGTCGGTGCGCGACCATCTTGTCAAAACTGGAGTTAGCGACAATAAATAAATGTAATAAAATGTCCTAAATCACTCGTAATGACTTAAGTTTCCTATTGCATCTAATAAAGTCTAGTGCATAGTTCATTCCTGTGCTATTTTCGAGTCGGTTACAATATATTTTTCTTTATAATTCGGGTTTGTGCTGCGTCAAATGACGTCATGTGTGTGATACACGTATCGCGACAGAGTTCGTAAGTATTTTCTTTTATTACTGTATTAATTACATTAAATAGACATTTATTTCGTTTAGTTTTCAGTTTGCCCAAAGTGAGTTTCATTCATGAATCATGGGGAAATCGCGTGAGCGAGTGTTGTTTGTCCATACTTGTTCACGAGTTGGCAGATAAGTGCCCTTGAAAATTATGCAGCAAAAAATTACACAGTAGTTAGCCAATTGGGCGATTATATGCAGCGTTTTCTATTAACATCACTCGATAAACCTCGATATCCTTGAAGGCATTCGTTTTCTTCCTTTTGCAGCAAAAAACATCGCGAACTTTGCTCTTTTTGTGTCGCTAGAATAGACTCGTCACTCGACTTATAGAAAGTACATAAGTACCTACCTTCGACAAACATTTGTTAAAAGTAAAATAAAAATGGCTGCCACATTTGTTGCTTATTAATACACATTACATACCTACCTCAATACATACGTTGCGCGTCCGATAACGCGTTATAAATCTATAAACGGAGTCCTATTAAAAATGATGACTAAAATCGCCATTTCTGTACATAATCATGCATACACCCATCGTGTTATTGACAAACAAGAAACTAATTTGCAGTCCATTAGTCGCTATTTAATATTGGCTATTTTTAATATGTAATCCGTACGTACGGGCGAATACGGACACATTTTTACTTATCATGTTTACATTGCAATGCATATGTGAATGTGTAATGTATTTATTTATTACTGTAAACGTGTTCGACTATTGTTCTGCGTACTGATAGTCATTTTAGTACGATATGAACTAAAACTTGTTTTAAATATTACAAAACGAGAAACGTTAAATATTTTCAATTTTATTAGTACCTAGTATCTCTTGTGATTCTCTGTTTTGGTTTTACATGAAGATTTTGTTAAGTTTTAAAAACTGCAAAACAATTTCGATTCTTTATCGATCTTTAATAGCGTTAAAAGCTATTTTAATTAAAAAACCAATTCCTTAAAATTACATCAGATTTTGTCTATTGTTTTGCATTGCGGAATCGGTCAATGTTGCATAATAGACTTGTCAGAGCAAAGCTTTTTAATGCTAAATAATCCACTAACACTTTTTCCTCCGTACTAGAATAGGTAATCAAGTTTCGTTACTATACAATGCTTATACTTTTAATGATAAAAGTTTAATTGGTTCTTTATTCTTGGGCACTTTTAAAAGTTTCTCATAAAAATAGATGTACTCACTATAATGTACACTCCGCAAAGTATAATTTACAATTGGTATTCCTGAAACGGTAACTAAGAAGCCTTGACGTAAAAACACGGAATTTCAAATCGATATTCCGCCATTTTCAATAAAGTGTGATAATAGAAGATTGTCTCATGTATTATAATTATGTCATCTGCGCAACATGGACGGCATCTTGTGGGAGTTGGACTATTTTCTAAAATCTAAACCATGGACTATGCAGAGAATCACTAAGTACAACTTTATTTTGGGTAACTGCAGCCCGACGTTTTAGCAAGAATCATGGGCAGACTAAGTTAACTAATGTATTTGGCGTTTTAACCAGTTAAAAGTATTTTCTTAAATCGCTTACGAATCGAAATTAGTTTCTTACTGAGG